ATAGGGCTGGGAAATACCAGCACCCGGCTTTGCTCTACCCAGTGCCACGGGGAGGGATGTGAACAGCTTTTCTTCTCCTGTTTAAGGACAGAGATGGGAATTCCTGCATCTCTGAGCTGCCTCGCTGCCCTGGTGCACCTCTGTGTGTCCTGGTGGGGGTCACCCTGTGGGTGGCACCCACTGTGATTGTGGGCATCGCTGCTGAGCCAACCTGTGGCCTGCCCTGCAAAGAGGGGGGCTGCCCCTGTACTCCCAGCCCTGCCTGTCCCTGCTGTGGGGTCAGGGCGTGAGGGAGGTGGGCGACAGCTGCAGGACATTCCTCCGCTCGGAAAACCTGATCCGCATTAATTGTGCTGAAAGGAGCCCTTCTGATAACGAGTACGGAATGGAAGCGTAGATAATACTCATCTCTGAGTGCCATTAATCTTTAAAACTGGAACAATAAGTGAAAACACTGCAGGGCATATGAAGCAAGGTGTGATTCACATCTGCTCCTCCGCGGCCGCCGCCTGATTTATTGGCGCGGGGCGACTTTTCCTGCGCGGTTTCAACAGAACCTCGTTACATAACACTGCACGCTGTTTGCTCACCTCCATCAATCACAGCTTCTCTTCTGACCCCCCTCTCCCCACCCGATGTGGGAGCACCCAGGAGTCCCTGAGCCCAGCAGGGAGCTCAGCCTTCCCCGGTGCATCTCGCACCGCTGAAGCCTTCTCTCAATGACAGGATGAGTTTCCTGTGCTCCCCACGTCCCCTGCCCCCCGGTCATGCCACATCCATCTTCCCGTTTGATGCCTTTCATTCTCATGCAGCTCTCTCTGGGATTCGCTTTCTTTTATTTAAATGGTGGGTTTGCTGCAGTGACCTTTCTGCTGGCTCCGAGGGGAGGTGGGCAGCAGCAGTCCCAGGAAGGCGCTGACCTGTGGCTTTGAACGAGTTCAAAGCATTGCTTCCCTCTGCCTTTTGGCCATAGCCCTCAATAGAGCCCTCAGACTGATTTTCTCCCCCCCGTGCCTGAAAAGACATCACCAGAGACATTTCCCCTTGCAGCCTCTTTAATATTTACGCTGACTTTGTGAGCGGATAATATATTCCACTTTCTTTAGCCTGCTGAAAGCTGGCATTCCTCCTTGCAGTGCAGTTGGAGTTAGCGTTGTGTACAGGGCTGGAGACATCCAGAGGATGCAGGTGGTCCTGGACCACAGTTGCTGCCTGCATCCCATCCCATGAAACTGTCCTGGGACAGCTCTGACATGGTCCTGTCCAGTCCTCATCCCGTCTGCAGAGATGAACCCTGAAACTGTGCTCTGAGTTTCGCCACTCTGAGCTGCAGTGATGGCAGAGAAGTGCAGAGGGAACGATGCCACCGGTAAAATCATGACACAGAAGGACCTCTCCAGTCTTTGCCATTTTCATTTGGGCATAAACATCTTTCCTGGCCTGGTGAACACCCAAACTCCAGCCAGGAGCATCAGATGTGGGCTGCAGGGTGCCGTGCGTGTCCTGTGCCTGGCTCCATGTAGCATGGAAAGCCTGCAGGCAAAGGTGCAACATCCTGCCCCAACAAATGCCACCAGGCCAGGTGCTCACTGGGACAAAAGCCCACCCTCACCTCCGGAGAGGACAGAACAGAGCCTCAAAGCAGCAGCTGTGGTTACAGCTGTGGTCACAGGCATAGGGAAGAGCTCTCTGCTTCCTTGCAGAGGTGATGTGGGAGAGGACAGGTCCAGGCCAGTTGTTCCCACTGGGGACACGGATCAGGCCTGAGGTGGCCCTTCGGTGCCCAGTGTGTGATGGACACGATGAGGCACACAGCTGTGCAGGGGTCACATTTTTTCAGCCCCGTGTTGCCCCAGCAAACAAATGTCCCAGGATGCAGACAATAATGTTTTTATGAGCCTCTAAATTCTAGCCTCAAACGCTCTTTGTAGTGGACTAATAGCCAACACGTGGCCCTTCGTCTCATGCTGAACTTTTGTGGTCCTGCAGGGGAAGAAAAGGCCCTGGTGAGCATTTACACTGAGCACTTTGTTCTCACAGATTTGTAGAGCAGAGAGAATAATGTATTGAGGCTCTCAGCCCGTGCCAGTTTGGCTTCATTTGTCCTTCTGAACTTGCCCTGAGAGATAATGTTTCCTTCTAATCTGCTGCCGTCCACCTACAGCAGGGACCCAGTGAATAATTCTTCCAAACAAGCCTTTATTCTTAAGCCTCTATCAGGCCCTAACCCTTTCTCCCCCTTACAGAGTAATTGTTGTGTTCATTACATGATAATGGCCCGAGCTGTATTCCAGCCCACACTTGCCATGGCCACACAAACAAGGTTCAGGCTGCTCTGCTCTCAGGATAATGCTGCTCATTTGGCATTATTTGAAGGAATGTGCCAGGCATCCAGCAGCAGGCATGCTGCCTTGTCCTGCGTCAGCGCCGCCGTCAGATGCAGCGCATTGTGCTCCCGCGAGAACCCAACACATCCTCCAAGAGCTGGGGCTTCATTTTCCTGCACGTGATAAGAAATGGCTGTTGTACCTCTATGGGAAGGAGGCGCAAGGAAGAGGAAACGAGGCTCAGAAGTCTCTGGTTCATGGAACAAATCTTTTCTGCTCAAGTACTTACGTCGCCTTTTCACAATGTTATTTTAATAAGCCTACAGAAGCTTCACAAATTGCCCTCTCCATCTGTAGGAGATGGGGAGCTCCTAGGGGATACACACAGCGTGTGCAGCAGCAGACCATCAGCCTGCTGCCCAGGAAGGCACTCTGCCACTGGTGCCCCTCTGAGCACATGTGGGTGTCAGGAGGGCAGGGATGGATGCTAGCTCTGTGCAGCTCTGGTCAATGCTTGCCAAGGGGAAGGGAAGGTCTTGTCCAGGCAATCCAAGACAAAAACCCCTGGGGTGCAGCTTCATGCACACACATACATCAGAACATGCAGGTATGTGATATTTGCAGTCACGCTCAAGATTTCCTTCATTACAAAGCAACGGTGAAAAAAGCCCAGAAAGGCAGTGGCAGAAGCTGGATGTCCTCAGCCCGTCCTGCAGCCCCTGCAAACCCCCTCCTCCCCAAAACACGGCCCTTGCCCCATCCCCAGGGTGAGATCCTGTCACAGGCAAAGCCACCGCCCCGCGTGGGACAGCCTGTTCCCAGGGTGCTCCAAAAACCTGAGCGGAATCAGCAGTGTCCTTTGTACATCTCAGGGCTGGGCTGCTGCCAAATTCCTCTGCACCCACTGCTCCATTCGATGCGTCAATCATTTCTTGGCAACACGAGAAGAGTCGGGAGGCAGCTTCAGACAGTTCAGTTGCTTTCATTTAGAGGTGAAAAATACACAGTGCACAAGCAGGGGCTGCTCTGCCTGCACAGCAAGCAAGGCTGCTGAACCTTCCTGTTACAAAAGGAAAAGCAGCAGCAGGAGGCAGAGCTGGATGTTTTGGGAGCCCACAGCATCCCAGTGCCGACTGGCAGTGCTGGCAGTGGGGCCCTTGGGAACAGAACAGGAAAGTCTGGGTGACTCAGAGTTCCCTGGCATGGGCACAGTGGTTCCAGGTGAGCACAGCCAGGGATGTGCTCCTGGGCAGGGACCTGGAGCAGTGGATTAAGGCTGGGAGCGCCCATGGAGGTGTGGGGCACAGCCACCAGCAACAGGTGCATAGGGAGCGAGAGCAGAAGCTACAGATATTGCTGCTCCAAAAAGGCAAGAGGAATGGGCATCAGAACAGAGGAACTTCAACAGCCCAGCTGTGCCTGCAGCCCTGCATGGCCAGTGCCCAGACCCCAGCACTGCAGGTGGGCTCAGCAAGTGAACAGCCCCAGGACATCGCGCTCTGCCCTGGGGTCAGGAGCACCGGTTGGGGTCAGCAAACTGCCCCACGGCTTTCCCAGGGCTGAATGCTCCCCATGGCTCTCTGCCTTATTCCTTCCCTTCGCCTCTTCCTCTTGCACAATCACTTTGATCTGCACTGCGGGGGATCACTGTGAAAAATTCACGTTCCATGGACGCTGAGCAGCAGCACTCCTGCAACCCCCAGGGACCCTTCCGTGTGAGACAGAAGCACAGCTCCTCGCACATTGGATCAGGATGGGCTGGGAGTGGTGCCTGCGTGGTGCAGCTGATGGGGAAGCTGTGACCGTGTCCTACCCATCCCAGAGCAGCAGGCGGGAGCAGACTGGGAACCATCCCCTCTCTGTGCCGCCAGGCATTGGGAGGGAAGGGAAGGGATGCAGCCTGGGGCCGGCACAGCAGGAAGTCAGGCTTGCCGAGCTGGGTGTGGAGCATGTGGGGATGCTTGTCTAGGCTCCCGGAGCATTTTCCAAACACTTTAATTACAGTGATTTATAAGGCAAAAGTGTGGGGGCGAGAGCTTGGGAAAGGCATTAGCAGGTTTGTTCCGAGGCTCTAATCAGGGGAAGGTGATGTGGAGCGGTGGGGGGAGGCTGCAGAACCTCTCTGGATGCCAGGGGTGTGCTCACAGCATCCCTGAGACCTCAGTGCAGGATGTGCTCTGGTGGGGACCAGCAGCAGGAGCATCACCAGCACCCAGTGCCCATCCCCTGCACTGCAGAAGCCCCTTCTCTTGAGACTCCATCACATTACATGTGTACACTTCCACGTTCACATACAAACCCCCCCATTCCTGCAGCTTTCTGACCTCAGAACCAACAGCTCCCAGAGCCACGCAGAGTGCTACGGGGCAGCAGCTCTTCATTTTAAACCTCCATCCCCCCAGCCTGGTTCGCTCCAAGGAGACTGTCACTCCTCCAGCACCCCGATTACACCGGAGGAAGAAAAAGAAACATCAGGCTGCTGTCCTGGCTGGTGGCACAGCACATAGCCCAGCCCCAGGCGAACCACGGGGACGCAGAGTATTGGGCTGGCGGCTCTGACCCCGAGCTGCCACCGGACATGGCCCCAGCGGGGTGGCCAGAGCCCATGTCACCCCTGCTGCATTCCTGCTCCTTGGCCTGCTTTGTGATAAATAACCTTTTCCTGTCCTTTTTGACACTGATGTTTATTGATGGTTGAGATCCCTCGCAGCACCGCACATCCCGCGGCCGTGGAGCCGGCTCTGCTCAGCCAGGCTGCCCGCAGCCCCTCTAAACACGTTGTGCCCAGATGTGTCGGGGTGGCCGTTGGCATCATCTCCCACTGAAACACACCACAAGGGACAGGGTAAAAAAAAGAGAGTCCTTTAAATAAACCCATCCCTGCATCCCAAAGCAGAGCCATCTCTGCAGGCAGTGCTCAGCATCCCCAGCTGGGCAGAGCACTGCTGCTGTTGGGCAGCATCCCAATGGCAAAGGGTCCATCCTCAGCCCCAGAACAGGGTTGCAAACGTCCTCAGGATGCCCCGTGGTCACAGCAGACAGCAGCTGTAGGCCAGGGCAGCTGGTGCACATCTGCACCAAACCCACACCGTGTTGGGTGCACACCGCCCTGCCCCACCCGGGCAGGATTTGCTGATTAAGGGATAAGTAATCACTCTCCAACCCAAAGCTCACGTTATCACTTAATTGAATGCAATTGATTGAGAAGCTAAAAGCAGCCCTGGCTTAGAGTGTTGCAGATGGTGCCTGGGAGTAGGGCAGCACGCTGAACCCTTAAAAGCATTGGCATCAAGGGCAGACGCAGACTTGCTCTCCTAAACTGTCATTATTATGGACGGGAACCAGCAGCAGCAGGGCAGCTCCAGGGGAACATTACTTATCGTGCCTGAAGCCTGCACAAACAACCTCTTATTCTTGCCCCTTCTGCCCCCGGTGGGCGGGTTGTGCTCCCACGGAGAGTTCAAGGGAAGGAAGTGTGCATCTGCAGGGCCATGTGGGGGCAGCCGGCTCTGAAGTGCTCTGAGCTCGAGCCCAGAGCACGGGCATGGAGCCCGGCAGCCCCTGCTGCCCCAGCACCGGGGAGATGTGGGATCAGCCCCCATCACAGCCGGCCCCAGCGAGGGAAAGAACAGATGCTGGGCTCCTCAAAGCACGGGGAGTTGGGATGCAGGACTGGGGCATTTCTGCACTGCAAGCAGCGTCTCTGCTTGTGCAAATGAATGTGCATGCACTGAACCCGGTGGCAGAACACCACAGGACATCTCACCTGATGTTGCTTTCCCCGCTGCTGCCCAGGCGTGCTCAGCTTTCCCCTTCGGTTGTGTTTTTCATGCAGTCGGTGCTAGCAGCTCTGCAGAAGGAGGTGCATACTTTATTAACTCAGCTACTTTCTTCCCCGCTAATTAAAATCAAACTACAGCTGATGCACGCTGCATACTTTGCAGCTATAAAGCAACCTGCTTTCCTGCTCTGCTCTGTGAAAACCTCCATCAGAAGTAATTTTATCTGCCTGCTGAGCTGAGCACGGTGCGGCCCTGTGGAAGTGGAGGCATCTGAGGATGCATCGGACCAGAGCCCTCGGAACCCAAAGCTCCAGGCTCCAAGTCTGAGCCTCCTTGAGGTCAGGCAGTGTGAGAGGAAGAGCACCAGCACAGCATCCACACAGCTCATCGTGCTGCTCGCATGGCAAACGAGCCAAGGAACAGAGTGAGCCTCTCCATACAGAGCCTGGGGGGGGGGGGGGTGCCCCTGGTAACCTCCACTCCACATCCCCGAATGAAGCCATTGCATGGGGATTTTCTTCCTCAGGAGTTTCTGCAAATAGCTGAGACTTTCCCCCGTGGCCCTCGTGTTGGTGCTGGCAGACGCCATGTTGGAAGCAATACATCATCAATGGAAGGTACCTAATGATATATTGCCTTAATACATCACCATAGCAACAGGGCTCTAATAATGTATTATTCTAATGCGTTACCCAAGCACACGTTCCTCCTGATGATGTATGGCCGGGATCGCCGTGCTCCGCCAAGTCCAGATGCAGTGCAGCTCCCCTGGGTGCCATATGCTGTCCCATAGCAGTGCCACCATCACACGGACACACCAAGCTGGGGGTTCAGGGAGGGAATGGGAGCTGCTGGGTGCTGGTGTCATCCTGCACAGTGAGGCACAGCAGCGTATCTGGAAATGACACAGAGCTTTCTCCCACCCCTGGACAGAGGTAGAGATGGGCAGTGCTCACCTTGACTGCCACTGATGCATCCCCAGAGTGACAGCACAGTGCTCACACAGCTGCCATGCGTTCCATCCCGGCACTTGGGGAGTTCAGTGGGGAGATGCTGGCAGCTGTGTGCTCCTCCAGCCCCATCCAAGGTAGCGTGGCCTTGGGCTCGCTCCTTCACAAGGAAAATGCCAGCTGGAATTCTCCTGCCACCCCTCACAGGGACAGCATTGTTCCCAATTCACACTATCTTTTTGACCATTCAAATGCCATTCATTCAGTCACCCCGATGCGTAGGACAGTTATCCGAAATGTTTTCCCAAACAGCGTAGTGACTATAGAGCAACAATTCATGGAATTGCTCAGGGACATCTGCACAGAGCAGGGCTGAATGCGCTCTGTGTGGAGCCTGGATTCCGCTGCCATGGCTGAATGAAGGGCAGGAGGAACTGCTTCAGCAGTGCCATTCCCCACTGAGCTCCCAGCAGAGCCATCTGACCAACACAGGGAAGGCTGCATCGTGCTCCCTCTGCTCTGCTCACTGTGCAGGGACTGCAGGCAAAGCCCTCGCAGAAGCCCCTGGAGAGTGAAAGCTAATTAGCAGCTTAACGCTAATTACAGCTGCAGCTTATTTTGTCCTCGGTCATAAAAAGAGCAGCAGTGCTGCCTGCAGCCATTGGACTAAGGATGCTCTGGGGATCCAGAGAGCCCTGTGTGGGGCTGCGTGTCCCCACGGATGGGGCAGCACTGCAGTGCCCCTACCAGCCCTGCAGATGGGAATCAGAAGGGAAAACATAGCCTGAGAGCAGCGAGGAGACAACGTGCTCCAGGTGCTGTCCCACACGGTGTGAAGCAGATGTGGGGTCAGCCCAAAGCCAGGCTAGGACACGGGGACAGCATTGGAATGGGCACTTTGGGCACTCAGATCTGGAGTGCCCTGAGCATCCTGCCCAGGAGCCATTTCACCCAGCACAGCCCAGCAGCATCCCTGTCACACCACCTGGCCAGCACAGGCCTTGGGGTGGCTCATGACCATTCCCTGACACGTTCCTGCTATTGGGGTGCAGAAGCCTTCCCCGTGCTCCTGCACAGCCTCCAGCATTTCAGGGGGACAGCAGTGACAAATTGCAGAGTCTGCAGCACAGAAAAAGGGAAACAGAGGGACCAAAGGGGAAATGATTGTGTTATCGATAGAGCTTCCAGCAGCTGATGGATGAGGACACCCAAATGACTGTTTAAAGTTTCAGGAGAAGCCTTCCAAGTGGCACAGCGAGGGCAAAGCTGGGATTAACTGTAGCTCCTGAGGGAGTCCTGCAGAGATGTGCCCTCGCTGTGCTGCACTGCAGGCAGGGGACATTCCCCTTGTCCTCTTGGGGTCAGGAACAACCCCTGGAGATACACACAGTGACACACAGCTTGGTGGGACCCTTCCAAATCCCTGAGGTTTTCACCACCTGAATCCTTTCTGAACAGTTTCCAGAGTCACCAGAATTAAAAGCAGAGAACATCACCTTCTAATCTGGGAAGCCAGGTTTACAGAGCATCAGCCAGCCTTGTTCTAAAGAAAGGGGAATACCCCCCAAGCACAGCAGGAGGGGCAGCCACAGCCCCACAGTGCCATATGTTGGGCACAGCCCTGAAAGGCAGCAGGCAGCTCCGTGCTGAGATCTGGCACAACTCCAGGCTGAGGTTCCAAGGGAAAATTTGTAGATCGAATGTTAATGAATATTATTGCTGTTATCTAGAAAGGCTGTGCTGACTTCACTCTGCTGCCAATTGCAAATAGTGATTATTCCCCCCCCCCCCTTGTAACTGATAGCAATTCCAGCACAGCTGATGATTCAGGAGAAGCAACCAAAGGTGGATGGGAACAGGCGACCCTCATCACACCCAGCTCTGACACTTCCAACAACACTCACTCTGAGATCTTCACTGCCTGGATCCCATCTGCCTTCCTCTTGCAAACTCATGGTGCCCCATAACCACCCCCCGCCCCACTAAGGAGCATCAAAAGAATCTTAACTGCATAAATCACGCTGTAGGTCTGTGGAGAAAGAGGCAGGCAGGGACTGCTATGAATGCAGAACTGCCATGAAGCCACGTCCAGTGCATGGGATGGGGCTCTGCTGGTGGAGCCTCCTGGGGGAGCAGCAGGGAAGAAGGGTGCTGCAGCCACCCCAAAAGGACCCCCATCCTCCCCCCACTGCAGCATCCCAGCGTGATTTATGTGGCATTCGGGCAATTGATGTGCTTTGTGCCTGGGGACAGCTAAATGGTAGCTCTGTCATTAGTTTAAGCAGAGGTTAAAGGTGATCAATAACAAGGGTTTCATGCCCAATTGATCACCCCCTTGCTATTTATTTGTAGCTTTTGCTTACCATCCCGTGCTGCTTTTAGAAATAGTAATTAAAGACATAACAAGCGTTCCGCAAAGCGGAATATCAAGCACTGCTGTTATCGATCCCATTCTCTCCCTCTCACTGCTGTTGCCCTGTGTCTATCCCTGCATCAGCTGGGAGCTGCAGGCACTGGGATGGGCTGCACTCCCCCATGGAGCTGGTCCAGCCACCAGGTCCCTGCAGCATCCAGATGCAGCCCCATGCTGTACCCCAGCACCCAAATACAGCATCCAGAGGCGACCTGCAGAGGGATCTGCACATGGGATCTGCTATCTGCACTGGAAAGAAACAGCTCAAATTGTAACGCGGCACTGGATCAGCAAAAGCAATTTGGTGATGTTGGAAAGGGTTTTGGGTCATGTGCTTCTGGTGGGTTTCTGGGATGCAGCTGACAGACGTGGTGAGGCTGGGCTGTGGGACAGGACTGCTGCTGGGCCCTGAGTGGAGCAGAGCATGGTGCTATGCAGCCAGAACAGCCCCATAACCTGAAGGAGCAATGGAGTGAGAACCAATGATGGGATGCTTCCAGAGCTGGGAAACTCATTTCTTCAGCTCACAAAGTTCTCACTGGAAAAAGTAAATTGCATGCTGCTACTGAGAGTCAATGAAGTCATGTTTGGAAAACAAAATGCTAAGAGTCCTTCTACCAGGAGCAAAGCCCCTTTGTGCTGCAACGGCCACGAATGAGAACACAGCTCTCCCACCTACCTCTGCTCCACACGGGGCAGAAGGGACCGAGGGGACCCAGCGCTGCGGCTGCCTGAAGTGGATGCAGGAGATGCTCCCTGGGAGGGCAGCAGGATTCCTCAGCTCAGCACTGTGCAGTCATTCCAGCTCTGCTCTGCGATAATGTTTAAAGAAAGACAAAGCAGAAATCCCCCACCCCACAGGAATGCAAAGCCCCAGCAGTTTCCTCTGCTCTTCAGCCCTCGAGCACTCAGGAGAGCCCACCTTTGTGACTTAACATTTGTGACACCGTAGAGATTAATATCACCAGAAAATAGCATTTCTTGTTATCTGCAAGGAAGCAAGCAGAACAACCAGGAGTAAAGCCCTGCAGCTCCAGTGTGGACTAGAGGAAAATGTGCTGCTGTCACCACCGTACCACTGCTATTAGCATGACAGTTCCCAGTCTGAAAAGCCATCACCTGCCCCTACTTCAGTTTGACTTAGAATTAACTGAAAAGCTTCACCATTTTCAAACTAGACATATATGCAATTAAAGACAGCTGATGCAGTGGCCGGACTCTGTGAAACCGATGTGTTTGCAACAAATGTGGGAAGAACTCCGCTCTGATCTCCCGGAGTTTTGGCCAGATTTACAGCTCAGCATCACATGAAAGCTGAGAGGCACAACACGCAGAGCTACAGGTGAAGGAAAACCACTGTATGAATTTCCACAGAAAGAAATACGCAAAAAAAGGGAACAGGCTGCAAAGCTTCAGCCCCCAGCAGACTTCCGTGAGCACAGGGATGGAGCAGCCAGACTGGAAATACCACAGAAAGATGCGGCTCTGTGTGAGCGCTGACTGCTGTCCTTTTTGGCCTTGTGGGGAATAAAAGCAAAGAGAGCTGGGGGTAAGAAATAGGCAGGTGATCAGGAATGGGCTGATGTGCTCCAAAAAGAGAAGCAACAAGGAAAATTAATAAAAGCACTGTGGAAGTTTGGCCCGGACAGCATTCCCCTGTACATCCAGGGCTTAACAACCTTCCCCTACGCAGCCAGAAGTGACACTCAGCCCAACCAACAGCAGCAGCGAGGCACTGGGGTGGTGGGAGATACCAACAAGCTCTGTGCCACTGCATCTCCACCTGTCTCCGCAGCCCCCACCTCCCACTGCCAGGAGACATTTAGTCCTAATTAAAAGGAAGGGAAACTTACATCGGTGAGTTTACATGGACCCCAAACGCAGATGCCCGCTGTAGGTGTGCATCAGTGCAGCGGGTGAGAGCTGCATGCAAGCAATGGGAGCGACGCCGAGCGCCCCGGCTCTGCAGAGCTCTGTGGGGCTTGCATGAAGGACTTCACGAGCACTTAGACACACAGATAAAACAGGTGATGCTGAGCAGCTCCAGCCAAACAACAGCAGCACTGGCACTCAATTAAAACACATGCAAACAACGGCGGCGTTAGCATAGAATTAAAATATCTGCTCAACCGGACAGTGCTGAATATCCTCGCAGGAGAGCAAAGCTGGGAACGGGCAAAGTGCTAACAGCAATGCTCCCAACTTCCATGCAAATCGAGGAGTGTTTCTGCTGCTGTGTTTGGCAGCGAAGGGCTGCAGGCACAGCAGGTGCTGGGCAGGGATCAGGGTGAGCACAAGAACAGGCTCTGCTGGAAGGATGAAGGGACACAGCATCAGCGGCTCCGTGTAACCGCGCCTGGAGAGGCACACTGCTGCAGGACAAGCACACCCTGCTGCTCTCCCCAGTGGCTGCAGTCATGTTCTAAGGTAGGAAATCTCAGAATTGAGTTGGATATCACAGAATCACAGAATTGTAGGGGTTAGAAGGGATATTGGCACCACACAGCCTTATCCCAAGCACAGAGAAAGCTGAGCAGCACCTCTCCGCCTTCATCAACTAGAAAATAAAAATAATTTGGAAAAAGAAAAAACCAACAAATGATGGCTTGCTGAATATTGCTCACCTTACAGAAAGAAGCTATTTTCCTCCGATTGCCAACAGCCAGCATAAAACAGAAGAGCACATGGACAGTGCCCTGTTCTGCACACCAAGAGCTCCGTGCCAGCGCTGTACTCAGCTCAGCTCCGGGGTGCACAGAACTGCTCCCTTCCCATATCTGCACTCCATACACTGAGGGTTCTGCTGCATTTTTTGGCACTTCTACATCTGCTTCTCCTTCATGCACCATAACCATCCTGCGCCGAACTCTGATACAACCACAGCAGCTCCCACTTGAGGAAAAAAAAAACAAATGGTAGAAGTCAAACAAAACAAGTAACCATGCCTGCAGTAATCGCCATTTAATCCCTGACCAAGAAGACAACAAAACCTCAGCCAGGCGACCCTGGGGGGGGGGGCACTGCTTTGCAACACAGCTGCAGAAATCAAATGCACCGAGCGGGGTTTCTCTTTGCACAGGAGGGCTCACACAGCTCACACAGCAGCGCTGCCGGCGCCTGATCCGAGCTGACACCTCACAACCCAGGGCCGTGCGCCCTCCCAGCGCATCTCATCCATTACAGCAATGCAATGTGAGCGCTGCCCCTTCCTCCCCAGAGCCGGGGCTGCTTGCCAGCCGCGCTGCCTCGGAGGGCAGGAGATGCTGCAGTCGCTCCTGGTGTGGGAAAGCGGCGCAGTTAAAAGCGCTCAGTGCAAACAAGAGTTGCTTTTTAAAGAAGTAAAAAAGGAAAAACAAAAACAAACCTCTGCTTTCGTCGGTTTGTTTCCCCTTTTGTTTCCTCCTCCCCGAGAGCCCTGAGGAAGGCAGCAGAGCTGCAGTGGAGCACAATGGTACGTGTGTGTGAGACGCACAAAAGAACGGAGAGGAGAGAGTGCGGAGTTGATGATAAATTTAAATTCCTCTAAGACACATTGACTCAAACTTCCATTTCCAAGAATTTATCATTACACACCTCCACTTTTTTCTTTCAAGCATAAGCTCCAAACAGCCACGTATTTCCTCATTTCTAAAGCGCAGCGCGCATTCAGCGAATACAGAACAATTCAGTAAATACAGCAAAACTTCTGGAATCCAGGACTTGACCGCCCCACCATTCTGTGCTTTTAGATCAAGTCACGCCTGCAAGAGAAGGCACCTCAGCCCACATCACACCTGAAAACACACAGCCCCACACCTGAGCCCCCTTCCTGCTCTCCATTTGGGGGAAAGCCAACACTGCCCCACACTGCAGCACTCCCAGCCCAGCAACACACTGGGAGCCGTTCCAACGTGCAGCCAAACCACCTCACCAAGTGACTTTATTTTGAAGTCTCAGGAAAACACTTGCTGGAATTTGGGACGAGCAACGCCGTGATATTTTTGTATCTGCTAACATGGGGTGCCTACACAGCAACGTGGTAATTTATAATGTGAATATTGCCAATATTGTGCTGTTGCTTTGGGAAGCACTGCATGCATATGCGCCCCAAAGGTGCAACAAAAAAAAAAAACAACCAAGCTGCAATAAATGCAAGAGTTTTCATGTGAGAGTTCCTGAGCATAAGTTACATTTAATATATAAAAATATATATATCTGAATTTACCTGCAGGCTACCCCCAGAATATCGCCTCTTTATCCCTAGAAAATCCCATCTGAAGGTCGTGGGATGGAATTGGTGCCTGGACTCCAGCAGGGCCACGCTAGGAGCTGAAACCACGGGAAGATCTCTGCCAAATTAAAAGGAAATTGGATGCTTTACCCCCAGCTCTCAACCGCGCATCCGAGCAGTGGATCTGAGCAGCGCGGGCACACGTGGCACAGTTCCCTCTGCATAAAACACCGCTGGACCCAAAGGACACGCAGTGGCGGCCGCAGTCCCGGCGGTGCTGAAAGAGAAGAGCGACAGGAGATGGGGGTCGGTCCCTCTACACAGCACGGCAGAACTCAGTTCGCAGCTTTCCCTGCGGCAACCGCGACCCATCGGGGCACGAAGCCGTGAGAATTGGGGACACCGAGCGGAACACCTCGGAGCCAAAGAAAAAACCAAACCAAACTGAAAAAAACCACAACAACGCGGCGTCTCGAGCTCTGCTCACGGACGTCTGTTATCCCTGCGAGAAGCGGAGAGAAGTTCTGTTCTCTAATCGCGCTGCAAAGCAGAAGTTCGGCGCAGAGTAACGAACTCGCGACACAGCGGGACGCTCCTTCGGCGCTCCGGAGCGCGGGGTTGGACCGAAGGGCAGCGGGGAGCGCACCGAGGGTGGGATGCTGGGGGGGATAGGGGCCACATGGACCCCGGCCCGAGGCCGCCCCGCTCCCGAAAGACGACACGAGACCGGTTCCTGGGTAAATGGTTTATGTAAGTAATAAAATATTTACTATAACATAAATAGAAACGTACCCTCGCAGTCTACATTGGTTTTGCAATAAAGATACAAACAAACAACAACAACAAAAAAAAAAAACAACAACAAAAAAAAAACCAAACAAACAAAAACCGAAACCAAAGGGGAAAAGGGGGATGGAAGAGGAGGGGGAAATGAACCGAACCGAACCTACCAACGGGAGGGAGAGAGCTCCGCGCACGGTTAGAAAATAAATAGAAAGGGGCCAGGACGGGCAGCGCCGCGTCCTACGGCCGGGCCGGAGCCGGGGGCCCCACGGGAGGGAATAAATTAGAGATCGCAAACCTTTGGCTACTTCTGCTGCGGCCGCGAGCGGCTCCGGCGCCCGAATAAATAGGGCTGGGGAGGGCGGCCGGGCCGGGCCAGTCCGAGGAAGGAAGGAAGGAAGGAACCGGGGCGCGTCCCGCCGCCCGCGCCCGCTCCGCCGCCGCCGTCGGGGCCCAGCGGCGGGGCCGGCGGTCACGGCACGGCACCGGGCAGCGCGTGGTGCAGCGGCGAAGTGTCCGCCTGTGCGTAAACGTCCTCCATGGGCGGGTGCGGGAGCCCGGCCGGCGTCATGCGCTTCTCCTTCTGCCGCCGGTTGCAGAACCAGACCCGCACCACCTCCTTCTCCAGCTGCAGGGAGTCCGCCAGGGAGGTGATCTCGTGCGCCGAGGGCTTGGGGCACTTGAGGAAGTGGTTCTCCAGGGCGCCCTTGACGCCCACCTCGATGGAGGTGCGCTTCTTGCGCTTCCTGCCCTGCGCCGCGATCTTGTCCAGGTTGGTGGGGCTGCCCGTGCTGGAGTCCGTCTCCTCCAGCCACTTGTTGAGCAGAGGCTTCAGCTTGCACATGTTCTTGAAGCTCAGCTGCAGCGCCTCGAAGCGGCAGATGGTGGTCTGCGAGAAGACGTTCCCGTAGAGGGTACCGAGCGCCAGCCCCACGTCGGCCTGCGTGAAGCCCAGCTTGATCCGCCGCTGCTTGAACTGCTTGGCGAACTGCTCCAGGTCGTCGGAGCTCGGCGCGTCCTCGTCCGAAGGCTCGGGCGGCCCCAGCGGCGGCGGCGGGGAGGCCGCCAGCTCGTGGCCCGCCGCCTCCTCGGCGCCCAGCGGGTCGCGCAGCCCGTGCCCGTGGTGCAGCGCGGGGCCGGGGGGGCCCAGCATCCCGTTGAGGCCGCCGTAGGGCTGCCCGTAAAGCAGCGGCTGCCCCGACGGCGGCGACATGGGGGGCAGGTGGGGGGGCGGCCCCGCGCCCTGCGCCCAGCCGCCGGCCTGGGGCACCAGGTGCGGCCGCGGGTGGAAGGCGGCGGCGGGGGGCAGCTCCTCGCGGGGCCCTCCCGGGCCGCCCTTGCCGTGCTCGGCCGCCGGCGGGAGGTGCGCGCCGCCTCCTCCTCCTCCGCCGCTGCCCCAGTCCGTACCGGCGCTGGGCAGCCACTGGTGGTGCGCCAACCCGACGGCGTGCCCGGCAGCGGCGGGGGCCAGGCCCTGCAGGTACTCGTGGTGCATCATCTTCTGCACCTCGCGGTACGTGGTGCCTTGATGCAGGCGGTCGCCGTCGGGGTGCAGCAGCGCAGCAGAGCGCGGCAGGTACTGCGCGGCGGCGGCCATGGCCGTCTGCGGGACGCGGCGCCGCGCCGCGCTTTAGAGCCCCGCGCCCGGGTGCCGCGCCGCCGCGCGCCGGCCACGCCCCCGTGTCCCATTGGCCCGCCCGCCGCCACCGCCGGCCCGCGCCGCTCCGCCATTGGGCGCCGCCGGCCCGGGGAGCCGCCCAGCGCTCGCCTTTCCCATTGGCTGTGGGTGGGCCGCCGCCGCCGCACGATTGGCCGGAGACGCGCTCGGCGGAGCGGCCCGCGTGCGGCCGGCGGCGAGGCGGGCGCCGATTGGAGGAGGGCGCTTCATTCATGCCGGGCGGCGGGCGTCCACGTGGGCCGGGCGCGGGCGAGGGGCGCGGGCCGGGGAGGTGGCGGGAGAGGGGCACGTGAGCGGACTGTGCGGCGGTGGATGGCGCGGTACGGTGCCATATGGCACAGTATGGTGCTGTGTGGCACATTATGGTGCTATACGGCACGGTACGGTGGTGTGCAGAATGATGTGGTGTGGTCCAGACGTGTTTGGCACTGTAGAGCCCAATAAAGCACAGCACAGTCCTGTACAGTACAGTGTGCATGGCACCGTATGGCACTGTGGAGATGTATACATCCTGCACCGCATGGCAGCATTGGCAGACATTAGCAGTGCACATCTGTCTGTTGTCTGCTTTACATCCCACTTCCCCAACCCCTTTTTGCAGCTCCCAGCGTTGGAAGGGTCTCCTTGTTCTGGAGATATGCTTCGCTGCTCTCGCTCTGTCAGAAAGCGTTTTTGTTCTAATGCTGCACTCAAACAAAGTGCAGTTTGGCTCTATAACAGTTATTTGGTGCTGGGAGAAACTTCCCCTGCAGCTGCTTTGTCTGACTGTTGTTTAATGATGCTCTGCCCGTGGTGAAGCGGAGACGAAGGGCAGCAGCTGCCCCAAATCGTCGGGAGGTGGGAGTTCTGTCTGAGCCATTGGACAAAGCCCGGAGAGGATGTGAGTGTTTGGGTGTCACAGGACATGTGAGGCCAGGGAGGAGAGGGAGCAGCCCTGGGGGAGTCCCTGAGCCGGTTTGAGGGCTGGCACGGGATGAAGGGCGGAGGAGTTTGTGGGAAAAGGCAACGACAGTGAGCAACGGCCGTGTCTGGAGGGGCTGGGAGAGGGGCAGGGGACACCTTAATTAACCCAGCTCCAGACTTCACTGGGGCTCGAGGCCCAACGTGAGTGAGGATGGGCACCGGCAACATTAATCACTTCTGAAAATTAATCTCTTTGCCTCCTCGCTCCCATTTGTAACACGGGAACAGAGACAGTGACCTTTGCCAAGGGCTCGGGCGGCCGCCGAAGCAGCAGATCAATACAGGGACGAGTGCAACATGTCAATGGCCGTGTGCAGGTGCCCTCCTGCTCTCCTGGTGGATACGGACACCGGGAGCCACCTCTCAAAGGCTTTTCCTTCCAAGGTGTGCAGCCCTTTGCTCTCTGTTGCATCTCAGCTGCCCCCCATCCCATTCATTCTCTCTGTGCCAGCAGTGAACCATCCCCTGGCGCAGGTGTTCCAGCCTTGCAGAGAGCCCAGGCTTTGGACTTCACTGGAGAAATGTGTTCCATAGATCACAGAGCACATTTACTAAGGAAAATATTGCTCTTTTCTTTATTTTTTTTTAGTTCCCAAGGAATCCTTTGCAAATACTGCATACGTTTGTAATGAATGTAACCCTTTCCAATGATTCAGTGACGTGCTGTAAAGTATCACACTTGGATAAGCATTTTCTGTGTATTTTTTTCTCACCCGACTCATATTCATGTCAGCTCCCCATGATGCAGTGCTGCAATATTCAAATTTTTGGTAGCCAATTGCTCTTGATATTTATATCCATTTTTAAGGGAATCATAATGAATAAACGTGCTCAGCTCCAACTTTATGCAAAATAAGCCGTGTGTACATCAGTAAATCATTAGTAGAAATTAATCATTTCCAAAGGCTGAGGATGAGATCTCCTTTCAAAGTCCTGTTTATGTGTTTGAGAATTCACCAAAGGAGAAAACGCATTTTGTGACAACTTGACCCCCATCACAGCTGAATTAGAAAGTAATATTGGTTTATACTCAAACAAACGATCTTCTCAAAGCAAGGTATCATGCACTGCTTGTGCTTTAGGCTTGCTTAGCTTGGTAGAAGTTGAATTTAAAGACTGGAAATAACAATGAATGAGAGGAAGATGAGAAATTCCCATTTAATGCCTTCCTTGGTAGCTCCAGCTGCAGAACGGAGCGGCAAAGTCGCTCCAAGGAGATGCAAAGGAGAGCAGTGACCCAAAGCACTCAGCGATGAGGGGCTGAGATGTGGCCACATCCCAATAGGAGGGCACCCAAGTTTTCTAGCAAAACCTCGTTTCCTCATTGAGCCCCATCAGGAATATTGGCCGTAGTCCGTTCCCACTTCCAGGGATGAACAGCCCCATGGGTGATGTTCGATGGGATTCATTCCCTGTGTGACTGACAGCACTGCACTGCCCGACTACAGCACGGATAATCCACGGTACAACGTGTTGGACCTCTCTGTCTTTTGGCATTTGAGGGCAAAATACTCGCTTTGCTTTGCTTGTCCACACTTTCAGACTTGTTAACTTGGGGAGAGATAACCAACAGAATAGCAGCTGAGACAATGGATTTAATCACAAAAGTAGCAAGGAAGGGAAATGGAGAATGGTCGATATGGACATGCAAGGTATGCTGCCTGCAGTGGGCAGTAGGTGTAGATGTTCATGTAATTATCTGAGAAGCGCCCCAAAGATGTTCTCACGAGGCCAAGATGAATGGAAAAAAAAGTGCTGCTCTCATCTTTTATTGAACCAATGGAACTCAGGCTAAGCAGCCACTAAATTCCTATTTACACAACAGACCTTAATCGCTGCGAAGGAAGCACTCGAAAGCATTCGACAAATAATCCCTGTTTATGAAAGCGCCATAATATGCATTTACATAATCCCCACTTTAAAAAGCTCTATCAGCTCTCAAGTCCTTCAGCTAGAGATGCATGGGGGGGCTGAGAGGCACCAGACACAGCAGAGGCAATGCACGGCTCCCAGTGGGGCACTGGGGTGATCACAGCAAAGGGTTCAGCATGCATTGGGCGCTGCCAGAGCATCCAGTCCCTCTCTGCTCTCTCAGCCTGTTCCCCAAATATCACACTGCTTCATCAAGTGTGACTGCTACCAAAAGGAAACAACTCGTCTGCAGTGGTTCCTATTGGTATTCAGTCCTGGGAAAGCAGGATTGAGTTCAGTTGGGTTAAGGAAGGGAAAATACATGCAACCCAATTCATTTCCAGCCTCAGATTGATGCATGCATCCATAACCATGTGTGTGTGTCTTCTGCTGTCAACTCTGCCATGAGCATTTATAACACAAATGAGAACAGGGACCCACAAAAACACTGGGATTTACCTGGCCAGCATTCCAGCAATGGGAAGTTTTGGCTGCAAAACCTCATCCCCTTCCACAGCTCCATGTCAGCCAGCCCCAAGCTTGGAGCTGCAGCCCAGGTCAGCCTCACTGCTGCTCCATCCTTCTCCAGAATCCAAAGGGCCCAGTGCTGGACTGCTAGGGCAGGGCAGGTCCCAGGTCCCCGTTCTGTTCTTCAGGGTTTCTCCTGGGAGCTTCCTGCACACAGTGCCCACTGCAGTGCCTCATCCCAGAGCAGAGCATGCTCCTGAATGGGGGAGACAGGTGGGCTCAGCCCCGGGCTGCCAGCATTGAGCATTCCTTCCCCAAGTAACACCAAAGCTCATGGATTTTGCTCAGCGCGTTCCGAGTGCCATTCCACCTTAATAATGAAGCTCACGAGGGAAGGTTTCCATTTAATGA